TTATGGTGCATTCTCGTAGTGAGTCCTCACTGTCATAGGCTCATTGTTGGCAGATTTTCCTATATATATTTTTTTTATAGAATTGGTACTGAAAACAGTTGATAGTTTTGAAAATTATTTTATTCAAAGGATTTCAGAACATGGCACCATTTCTTCAGGAAAGAAAGCAATTTCTCTCTCCCTCTTGAAGTGCGGCTTTAGTGTCATCCCATATTGAAGTAAAGTCCTCTAGTGAAGTGAAGTCCTTTTTTAGAAAGTTTGGTAGCCAAAACCCTTGTGAGCATAGCCCTTACGCCTCCTCTTCTACATCAGCTTCTATGAGTTTGCATTTGAAATTCAGAATCTGTTTAATCACTCCCAGCATTATGCAATTCTAATAATTTAAGTCTAAATATCCAGATTGTTGCATACGCCAAGTTATGGTTGGTTCTAATTGTATGCTACAGCTATTTTGGATGCAGAATCTCTACATGGGAAATTATTCACTTACCTGTCTGTTTTCTATCTATCTGTTTTCTTGCAGTGACCATCAAATTTGGATTATTGTGTTCTAGACTAGGTAAGCAGAACATTTGCTTCCAGAGAAAATGGCATGGACATTTTGTATATTCTTAATGATTTGGACAGTATGTAGAGGAGAAAATGCTTCAAAGTGTTCTGCAGCTCCCAACAACCGCTTTGACTGTGCACCAGAAAAGATCTTAAACGAGGAAGAATGTGAAGCTCGTGGGTGCTGTTATATTTCCGATGATAGTTTGGGAACTGGTCAGCCTGCTTGCTTTTTCCCACCAGACTATCCAAACTACAAGATGACTGACTTCACTGAAACAAACTATGGATACACTGCCATCCTCAGTCGCATGAAACATACATTTATGCCTAATGATCTGATGAAACTGCGCATGGATGTTTTTTTTGAGACACAGTACAGATTGCGTATTATTGTAAGTACAGTGATTGCTTTGACTAACTAATGTAGTCATTACATTTTTCTTCCTGTGTTTGCATAGGCTCCCTGCGGTTACTCCGGTAAGTTTAATGGCTCTTGGCCCTAGTATGTGTGTACAAATTGGCTATGCATATGTGCTATCACATTCTGCATGCTGACACCTACCTGGGAAAAAGCTCTCAAGTGTATTAGATGTGGAGCCCAGAGAGCTGACCCATAGAAATGGCAAGAGTCGGAAATTACATCCCATACATACACTAATGCAGTGGTCTGTGCATTTGTTTATTCTCACAGTGCATCACTTTAATAAATAAGGTGCTCTTATATATCAGTGATTTTTTTTTTTAATGCTCGTTATTCCTATTCAAGGTATTTATCATCTGTAATTACAAATTTAGCTCCGACACATTTGCCTTGCTTGCCCAATATGATGCTCCAAGGGAGCCACATCCATCTTAGCTATTCCATTCTATTAGAGAGAGACCCATGGGAAAAAAATATTCCTGACCAGCCACCCCATTATCTACCATGGTAACCTGTTGTAAAGTCAGAAATCAGGTTACAGGAATCTCTGTTATTCTTTTATTTATATTACACTTATCACAGGTAATTACGAGTCCTGTTTAGAGGCTAAAATATTAGCTCTGAGCAAAATTTGTATTAACTCTTGCAGTTGGGCTACCTCCGCACTGCATGGGTTCCCTGCTTATTTTGTTCTATGGAAAATAACTAACTCACCCAATTCTCCCAGACAGCATGCTCTTAGGTCCTTGCAGGATCTCTCCCCCTCTAGTGCAGTAGTCTAAAGCTGGCCATACACCTTACAATTATCTGCAGATTTTCTGTGGTCAGATGGAAAAGGTGCAACAGATTCCGCCATCTACACTTTACTGTGTGGAGGGAGTCATCTCCACCAGGGCCAATCTGTTGCACTTTTTCCATCTGACCACAGAAAATCTGCAGATAATTGTAAGGTGTATGGGCACCTTAACACAGTGTATATGAAGTGAGGATGCAGAGGGACATTCCATTGCTGCAGAGGAGGAGACAGGCTGCAAGGAATGCTCTCTCACCAGGCCAGCCTCGAGCATTGGGTGAGTATATTGCTCGGCACTTGGAGCTCAAAAGTATCAGTACATGTACTCGTACCGAATACTGTACTTGGTATCTGTGCACCCCTAGTTGTAAGGTAATTTAAAAAACTTACGATCTGCCTATCTTGGACAGGCAGATCATACTTCCGATGGGTTGGGCTTCCGATGACCGCGATGCCAAACAGGCAGTGTGCGCTTGCGCACACCGGCCGGTGCGGCTGTTATCTTTTCGAACATGCCACAAACCTGCCGAACATTGTACGATGGTCGGCTGGTTTTCAAACATGTACCTAACGTAAAAGTCGTGCGACCTTACAGTAGCAGAGGTCGCAAGGCTCCCACACACCTTACGATAATTGTACGATTGCTGGATTTCCCGCGATTATCGTACGATTATCGTAAGGTGTGTGGGCACCTTAACTTTGTTATTTTCCTCCCTAGACCAAAACGGGAAGTCCTAGGCCAAAATGGAGCACGTCCGAGGGGGTAGTGGGAGCCTCTTACATGTCATCATAGGACATGCTTGAACACATGTTCACATCTTTGACAGTTCACAAGTTGAATGTTTGTATGTAGGGGATAGTTGCTTGAAAAAAGTTTTTTTTGTGTGTGTAGTTTTCCTTTTCCAACTACTACAAAGATAGCACAGAAGTATTTGCACTGCTGTTTTACTTTACAACTTACCTCTTTTTCTTGTTCCGCTACACACAGATAAAAGACGCAATTCAGAAGAGATATGAAGTTCCTATAGAGACACCACAGGTCACAGAAAAAGCAGACCCTGTCCAGTATGATGTACAATTCACTAATGAATCCTTCGGCTTCAGAGTCAGCAGGAAATGCAATGGGAATGTTTTGTGAGTAATAAATACGAGAAATGGAACTACCTCCAATCGCCAATTTAGTGCTGCAATCTAGGGATGAGCAAATTTGCCCAGGTTCAGTTTGCAAACGATTTTGCACATTTTGCTCGAAATACCAAGTTCACAAACTTTTTTAGCAGACCCTATTGGGGGGGGGGGGAGATCCTTGTTGTTCAATTCTAGCCATTTGCAAAGCTTATAAGCAAGCTAATGTCAAATGATAGGCATGGTAAGCCAGACACTGTTATAGGGGACAGTGCCAGTAGGGCCTTTTCATGCAGCTTCAATTGCTACATTTAAAATACACAAATTCATTAAATTACAGGCTTGGGGCATGCCTTAACCACTTGCTGACCGGGGTGTTAAACCCCCTTCCTGTCCAGGCCATTTGTCAGTATTCAGTGCTGCAGTACTTTGACTGACATTTATTCAGTCATGCAACGCAGTACTACGTTTGCCACCTGTCCAGGATTCACCCGGACAGTCTGGGTTTTGAATGCTGTGTCCGGGTTTTATGGCAGCAGGAACCCAGACACAAGATGTCAGGCAGACGGGGCAACCAAAATTAAAATAGGGGCTACTGGCCCCCCACAGAAAATAGTCTCAACTGTGATATTTCCATATGAATGGGTGGCGCTATTTACATATGAATAAGCCACAACTCATTCTTCCCGCGTCACTAGTGTGTTCGGTTTTTGCTTGAATAAAAAGTCGCACCCCTACGCAGTACTGAAATAAAATTTATACAATTTTTTAGGGACACATAGAGCTTTCTTTTGGTGGCATTTAATCACCACTAGGGTTTGTTTTTTGTACTATATAATGAAAAAAGTTCAGAAAATTTTGAAAGAAAAACATGTTTTCCCTACTTTATGTTATAAAACATTTATCAGCACCCAAATTTTTGGTAAAATATGAAAGACAGGGTCACATCGGGTAAATAGACACCAAACATGTCAAACCTCAAAATTGCGTGCGCCCGGGAAATCGCAAAAGCCTACTATGCCTAAATTTGGCCATAGGCGACGCTTTAAAAGCTTTTTACCGCTTATCACTTTTGTGTTATCAGTAATTAATGGCCCTAGAGTTATTGCTCTCGCTGCAACCTTTGCGGAGATACGTAACATGTGTGGCGTAATCATTGTTTTGGCACGTAGGCGCACCCAACGCGTATTTACATTTATATGTGCATGCACACGGGGGACTTATTTTTTTGGTGTTTTAAAAAAAATGATTTAATATAAGATTTAATATTTTTTTTTTTTACACTTAAACAGGTCTTTATGTTTTAAGTGTAAAAAAGGGACTAACAAGCACCCTATGTGATAGATAATACACAATGACAGGTCCTCTTTATGGAGACATCAGGGGTCTTTAGGACCTCTAATGTCACCTAGTGACCCCCAAAGAAGCTGATGAAGCAGAGATCTCAGCCAGAGAAATGACAGCTAAATGCGGAATTGATGTAATAGACATCGCGTCCACCTTTAGAGAGAACGCAGGAGAGTTCAGCGGTGGGGGAATGCGGATCTCTCCTCCGTTCTCTGTTCAGGCAGCTACTGTGCCGCTCCCGGGCTCACAGGGGAGACAGGGGAGCCCGGGATAACCGGGGAGGGGGGGGAGCGGCAATGAAGGGGGAGCGCCACAATGGAGGGGAGGGGGCCGCACACCTCATGCAGTAATACAAGCGATTAGCCAGCTGTAGAGCCGGCCGAATGCTTGTATGTACCAGCTGGTAACGGCTGTTTAGATTACCAGTGGGACCCTGCTCGAACATGCCCGCGAGCCGGAAGAAAATCACGTAAATGTACGTCCTCCCTCTGGGAAGCATCCGCTGTCCGCCTGTATTTTTTACTATCTATGGGTGGATGGCAACTAGTTAAAGCAAGGATATTTTTACGTGACCCTGGGCTATATAAAACAGGTATAAAAAACATTTACTGATGATAAAGAAATTCAGCCACCTCAGCGTCAGTCATTGTCTCCCCACCTTCGGCCCCGCCCGCTAACGGTCGGTTGGTGTCACTGTCTCTATCACCAACAACCACCCCACAAAATGTCTGCTGGAAAAAAAATTACCCTTACCCTTTACGGGTTGATAGTGGTGCACGCTGCCTGGGGGGCAGTGCCATCTTGCCCAGCTCATGGCAACCAAAGATGTCACTGAGCTGGGCGGTTGTCATAGGTTGTTAAGAGCTTAGCAACCTGGGATGGTCTGGCGGGATAGGGGACAGCAGGTGACCCAATGAGATGCCCCCTGAGGCAACCGCCTCACACTGACAGTAAAGATGGGATTAAGGTGTACGTTTAATAAACTGTGATAAAACTAGCTTTATCACGAGTTAACTTTACTCAGCAGATCTCTTTGTTTTTCTCGGCTGCACAGAGGCTGTTTAATAACCTGCGAAAAGAAAACTTATCTCACGTAACAGCTGTGAAAGGCTGAGATATCTCAGTGATCAGTTGAGAAAGCAATGTGGGGAATGTATTCTGAGCTGCACAATGACATCCTTTGTGATAATCTGCAATCCTCCTGACAGGATCGTAGTTTAATCTGCCAAACCACCCATTAACAATATTACAAAGCACCGCTATAGCAAAGTGCAACAGTTATTTCACGTTGAAATAAAAAAAATTGATTTTTGATTGTTTTTCACCCCTGAGGGGCGGGCTTCCGATGACTGCAATGCTTAATGGGCATTGTGCGCGTGCGCACACCGGCCTGTTCGGCATTTGTCTCCCGAGCATCATTCAAACCAGCCGAAAAATCATAAGATTTTCGGCTGGTTTTCTAGCAGGCTCCTTAGACAAAAGACGTGCGATCGTACCGTAGAAACGGTCGCACGTCTTCATTCACACTGCACGATTCACGTACGATCGCGGGACTTCCCGGTATTCTCGTACGAGAATCGTGCAGTGTATGGGCACCTTTACAACCATCGCAAGACTTTTGTCTTGTGATGGTCCTAAGCTTATTAAAAGCTAGTACGATCTGCCCATCTTGGGCAGGCAGATCGTACTTGCGATCATCGAAAGTGCATGAAAGTTCCGATGACCGCAATGAGGGGCGGGCTTCCGATCACTGCAAACGGGCAGTGTGCGCGTCCGCACACCGGTTCGTTCGCGTGCGCACACCGGTTCGTTCGGCAGTTGTTGAACAAGCAGGCCACTAACCAGCAGGCCGCTTTTCAAGCCTGCTTGTTCGACGGAAGATGTGCGACAGTACAGTAGAAACGGTTGCACGCCTTCCATACAATGCACGATTATCGTACTCATGACCCACTTATGTTTGACATTCTCATTGTAGGGTGGACACCAATATTGCCCCATTTATCTTTGCTGATCAATTCATACAAATGTCTACATCTCTTTCATCTTCCTACGTATATGGCCTTGGGGAACATCTCACTTCTATCAACTTAGACCTCGAGTGGAAAAAACTCACATTTTGGAACAGAGACCTGATTCCACGGGTAAGAACAAGGAAGGAAAATGTGATAGCAAATATATGAATTCTATATGTATGTGTATATGTTTTGGAAAACTGTTGAAATATAAAGATTAGTAATATTAAATACCAAAGGTGTGAGGATTTTCTGTCCAGCATTTCTCCTTTTTTGCTTAACATTGAACTCCACCCTTAACTTTACACTTGCATGGTTGTACAAGCTTTTCTTCTGTACTGAAATTGGAAGCTGCATCAAGTCAGATAGAGCTCACATTATTTGCTTGCTGGAGGGTATCCAGCATCATCTAGCTTTTTCTTGCCCAGCCTGACTGTCACTGGACTCCCCCTTTCAGTCAGTGGATTTCAGTTCTTTCAATCATGGAGGCTCTCCCTTACACGTAGCTGAAGTATGCATGCAAATACAATCTGCCTAGGAACGTCCACTTCTCCAGACTGAATTCTACCTTTCAAGGCATTTTGATGTTTGAACAACTCATCCCAAGAGCTAGCCTACTGTTGGCATCAGGGCTGAGGACTCTAAGCAGTAGTCGGAGAGGAGTACTGAGGCAGAGTGCTCTGATGTTTTCAGGAAGCCATGATCTGTCTGCTTTGTATAGAGAAGCATATGACAATATGACAGTGACAATATAAGGTATGTAATAAAAACAGGTTTTATTTAAAAATTTAGTTGGCATATTAATACGGTGGGGGGTAGGAAAGCCAAAATATAAGCAGAATAAACCTCAGCTTTATTTTTATTTTATTTTTAACAGCATGTTTATATAGAGCTGAGCTCTAGGCAGATATAAAAGACAGACATTAATGCAGCTCTATAATCCTTAATAAATCACAAATGTGTCTTTTAACCGCCCTGGTGGTATTCCCGAGTGTAGCTCGGGGGTTACTTTTCCATACCATAAGCGGTAACCCCGAGCTGCACTCGGGAATGCGGCATAGCATTTACTTACCTTGTCCCTCGAGCCGCGCTGTGTTCTCCGGCCGATGCCGGCATCCGTCTTCCGGGTTCCGTTTCTTGGGAGCATACGCGTCGCAGGGGGGCGGAAGAGGCGGGAAATTTTTTTTAAAAACGACAAAAACGAAAAAAATTTGAAACAAAAATAGAACGAAAAATGACACACAAAAAAAGAAAAAATCATACCGCCAGGGGAGGTTAGATAGGATCTGTGTAAGTACCTGGATTTGACTTGGCATTAGCCTATTGCAGTCCCTGTACAGCAGAGCGGGATATTGCGAGGAAGAAGCTGTACAAGGAGCTAGTTAGTTCATGTGTTGACAAGAAGCATACTGATGGAAGGAGAGAGGGTAAAAGAGATATGATCTCATCACTGCGCTGCTTCTTTTTTCATTATCACAGCTTAGGATGGGTTAGGAACAACCCTGGGCTCAGAGGAAGTGGATTGAATTATGGTTATCAGTAGGGATTCACCAATAATGTTTTTTCAGTACTGAGTACCGATTTTCATTTTTTTTTATACTCGCCGATACCGGAAGTCCCATTAAGGAAGCCGGGTGGCGTGTAATCACTCGCCGCCTGGGTTCCCGATTAGCAGGGAAGCCTTCTCCATGTGACGAGGGAGCATAGAGATGGCTTTCTGGCCAATCCGGAAGACAGGGGCGAGTAATTACCTGGGCCCCAGCTTCCTGATTAGCCAGAAAGCCACCTCTATGCTCCCTGGTGTACTCGCCCAAATACTATACCTAAGTAATAGTATCGGCGCTAATACTAGTATCGGTATCGGTGCATCCTTTATTATCAGATGAGGAAATCTAGAGAAATGAAAAAATAATGCTACCAAAGCAGGGTTTGTTATTCATTTTTATCTTTCTGCAATAAAGTGACACTAAACTCAGGAGTTAAATCTCAAAAATGCATTGAAATAGGTTAATTAGTAACAAAAATGTAGGCTTTTTCTGCATCACTTATTGTAGATCCTTAAATCATCTCTAAATTGGTGATGACACGGTCCTTCCTTCTGGAGGGTGGTTACTTTTCTTCCCCATGGTCCCTGTGTGTGTTGTAAAGTAGCCAGTTACAACTCCAAGCTCACCCCCATGATAGACTACAATCTCACATTTAGTTTAGCAATTTGTATAGAGATTATGGTCCATCACAGGCCCAAGATTGGAGCGGTAACTACTTTACAACACACAAGGACCATGGGGAATAAAAAGAATGAAAATGGAAAAAATGATGTAAACATGATTGGTAAATGGTTGATGGGAATAAAAAAAATCAACAGAAAAAAAACAGTAGAAGAGGAAAAGAGAAGAAAGGAATTAAAGTGACACTAAACTCAGAAATTAAATGTTTAAAATGCAGTGCCTTAACTATTAACAATACTGTAGCTCAGGCCTCAAAATTTCCACTCGCCCCCTCGCAATTGGTGAGTGAAAATTGGGGGGTGCAAGTGGAATGTCAGCGATGGGGTGCGCCATGGGCGGGACCAGGGATGGGACACTACCGCCGCGGCGATCGCTCGCTTCCGTTCTCTCTTCTCTTTCTCGGCTGCTGCAGCTACAGAGCGGCCGAGAAGGAGAAGAGAGAACAGAAGCGAACGCTTGCCGAGGCGGTAGTGTTCCATCCAGAGCCGGAGCTAGCTCTCTGCGCTCTCTCTCTCTTCTCCAGCTGCAGCTTCGGGCTCCACTCAGAGAGGCGGCTCTGATCACACCCGTTATCGCTCCCTCTTCTCTTCTCCCGGACTTTAGGAATTTTGAGCCCTGCTGTAGCTTATTTGTGTATCACTCAGCTGTAGATCCTCAAATCAGCTCTGAATTGGTGCTGACACTGTCCTTCCTTCTGGAGGGTGGCTTCTTTTGTTCCCCATGGTCCCTGTGTGTGTTGTAAAGAAGCAACCACTTCAAGCTCACTTCCATGATGGGCTACAATCTTACATTTAGTCTACTAATTTGTACTGGGATTGTAGTCCATCACAGGAGCATGCTTCAAGCTTGAAGTTTTTGGGGGGTTTTTTTGCCTTCCTTTGGATCAACAGTGGGCGTAGTGTTCTGTTTTACGTTTTTCCTTATTTTTTTATTTCTCTTATCTCTATATGTTGAACTCGATGGACTTTTTTTCAACCTGACTAACTATGTAACTATGTAATTTTTGTTAATCAGGTACTTGAATGGATTTTTAAGATTTAACTCCTTAGCTAAGTGTCACTTTAAATAGGGCTGGTTAGAATTAGCTAAGGGTTAGCCGCTTGTGTCCCCAGTGCCATTTTAAAACTGTGCTGGGACAACAGCTATTCGTATGTGTCTGTGCCCTCATCAACCTGATTTAATCTTATCTTAATTTTTACGGTAACAATTTGGGCTCCTAAAGCAAAATGCATACGTTCACTTTTAGCTTTACTATTCCACTACAATACATAAAATTCACACTAATGTTTTTGTTGATTAAATTTTTGAGTAAACATATGGAGGTGTGCAAATTACATAAACATGGGGTTGGGTAAAATTGCAGGAAAATGTGTTTTCTTCCAATGTTTTACATTTTATTACCAATAAAACCCAAGGAAATAAAAATATATGTATGCAAATTAGCTACCACAACCCTATCTGTCTGGAATAAACATGGTGTAGTATGTTAGGGTAGATTATAAACCCTAAATTATATAACGTGCAGAATGGAGGCATCGCTAAAACAAAAAAAAGCTCTAGGAACTCAGGGGGATTTGAGAGGAAAAGGCCTGGGGACTCAAGTGGTTAATAAATGTTTAAAAAAATACATTTAATGTATTTATTTTTATGATTTCTTTAACTAATGTCGTCATATGCAGCTCAATAATCACACCTTTAACCACTTGCTGTCCAGCCAATTGTCATCAAACAGCTGGAAGGAACATTGTGCCGGAGGATGTTTGGGTGGCTATAGAGGAGTGTGTACCCCTCTCCCTCCGCCCCCACTGCAGCCGGATATCCCAGGTTCCACTATCCTCTGTGCAGGCCTTGGATCAGCACGCGGATCTCTGTGGCTGGATCGGAGGGAGTTTAGCGCACCTTTACAGGCTGATCTTTCCTCTGATCACTGGACCTAGAAGTGATGTGTACTACATCACTTCCAGGTTTCAGAGTGTCATTTATCTGAAGAGTGTCAGATCTCTGCTTCATTAGCTTCTTTGCGGTCCCTAGGTGACATTAGGGGTCTAATAGATCCCTGATGTCTCCATAAAGAGGACCTGTCCCTGTATCTGTGCTATCACCTAGCGGGCTTGTTATCTATTACCTAGAGATACACTAACAATGTACGTGGGGCCTCAGGTCTGTATGTATGCATTTGAGTGAGTGAGGCTGGTATTTACGCCATGTATCAAGGAAGGGGAAGTAGCTTTTTTTGTGGTTAGTGCAACTGCATTGCTGCTATTTCTCTGCCCTTCAGAATCTCAGTCTCACAGGATAACAAAGTTCCAAAGTTCCCAGTGGGTAGTTGTATCTTCCATGGCAGCAGGATTTATTTCTACTTCCTTGCCATGCTCTAGACTCAGTAGAGGACATTTAGAGGTGTTTGCCATTGCTATTCTCTTATTTTATTTTTAATGCAAGTTAAAAAAAAATTAGTCACTGTCAAAAATGCAGCCAACTTGTAGCTGCGTTTAAAAGAAAAATGCAAGTTTTTTAAACTAGACATAAATGAGCACTTAACCCTTGCATTGCAGGGGTAGCCCCAATGCAAGTGTTACTAAAGTTTCCTGTAGTTCTTTAATCTTCCTACTGCTGAAACTGTGCATAAGCACATGATTTCAGCACCATGGAAAGCATTTTGGCAAACATTCCCACAAATATGTATTCAGAGTTGAAAAATAGCTACCACTGACTGTGCTATTATTATTATACAGGATTTATATAGCGCCAATAGTTTGCACAGCGCTTTACAATATAAGGAAGACATTACAGTCACAATACAATTCAAGACAAGATGGTAAGGAGGGCCCTGCCCGTGAGGGCTTACAATCTAAAGATTTGTCCTGGCAAAAACCCCTGTCATTGAAACATTGCTCCACTGAAAAGTCACAGTGCGCTACCCTAAAAGTGCTTATAATTACATAAAATGTGTTAACCTAAATAAATATACATCTAACTATATATAATATGTGAAGGGGTGTAAAAAAAAAAGTCCCCCAAAGTTCCAACCAAAATTGATTTTAACTAAAAAGTGTTCCTAATCACATATAATGCATACATCTCAATAATAAATATAAATGTGGGGAAAACTCTAAAATCTCCTATTTTGCTAAAACACAAAGTGCAACAATATATAAAGGGATGCAAATGAGATTTTCAGTGTATTATGGCCTTCTATGTGGAGCTGCTGGAGCAAAGGAAATTTGTAATCTCAGCTCCATCCAGTGGTTATAATTCTTTCTCTCGCTCTCTCGTGCAAAGTGTCCAAAGACAAATCTTAATAAGCTTGTGTGAGCCATGTTTCTTCCAAGTGGAATCCAAACTCCACAGCAAAGCTGTCAGTCTTGTGGAAAATAAGAAATCCCAGTATCAACCTAATAGCCGTCTATAAAGATATAAATGTCACTATTAGTGCCACCCTCCAGAGTACAAACTAAGCAGAGAGTTATAATATAAGTCGATCTTCTATCATCCTTTCCACAGAACAACACATCTATCCCAATCCACAGCTGCTCATATATATAATATGGCAAGAAGGTAAACACTCACCCAGTATAAAACCCTTTTATTTAGTAAAAACTCAGTAGTTTAAAACTATGCACTCACATTTGTAGGTTCTTCCACAGCATTATGCATATGGTAAGAAAAATAGACTTGTGCATTAGGTTTTTTTTTTTTTTTTTTTTTACACACTTTTACATATTTTTAAACAGTTCTAATTATTTAGATTTGCACTAAATTAATTAGGAGCACCAGTGGTACCCCTACAATTTTTGCCTTCTGAGGCCGGGAAGGGAGTGGGTTGGGGGTACTGGTGGTTTACATTAGGGTGGGGGGGGGTTGTTGGCAGAGCACGTTATGGGGTAGGTGCACAGTACCTCTGTTCGGCGTCTCACCCAGCTTACTGAGGTCACTGGTTGCCAATTTTCAAGTTGAGCATATTTTAAATTATGAGTATGGGAGTTTAGATTTTTTTTTTTAACATTTTATAGATGTTGCAAATTATTAAAATTTTACAGTGAAATATGATTTTAAAAAGAATCAGCCATTTGTCACTATTTGGCTACACCTCTTACAAGATGCTCATAGTTTGGTTGCATCCTTTTACAAAACACCTGTATTTTGACCATGCCAATCATTTTCAGCAGCATGCAAAACATACTGCCACCGCACTGGTTAAATTTCCACCAGGTACTCAGATGAGTCCTTCAATTTTAATAGTAATCGTGAAACTTAAGGCCTAGGCTTTAAGGGTGTCTGGAGTGTTATTATTTTCAAAAAAAGCATTTCCCCTTCCTTTATTCATTCATTTCAGGAGATTGCTAACATTGCTTTAGGATCTTGTGTGAATCTCATAATAACATCATATGTTACATCAGGTTTAAGACTCAGTCTGCTTCTTTTATTCTAGAAAGATGCTAATCTATATGGTTCACACCCATTTTATCTAAGTTTTGAAAAGGGTGGTTCTGCTTATGGAGTATTCCTGCTCAACAGCAATGCCATGGGTATGTATTGTGTAATAATAAATCTGTTATCATGTTTAACAATCAGGAATGTTTTAAATGTCAATGCTTCTTAAAATGGATTTGGAATCCTGACAGGAAGATGATGATGGTGACGTGTGCAGTGTATGTGAAATTAAAAACTTTTGTATAGAGTGGGGAAGGATAAAATTCTTGTTACTGCTATCCAGGCCTCCTTAAGTGGGGTGGGGTTGTTACCCTCCCCATTCTACTAAAGAAATTTATTTATTTCTGCCTGTGTTGCATTTACAAAGTTTCCCTCATTTCCTCTCTGGTAAAACATGACATGACAGGAGGGGAAATCTAACATTGTCCTGAATAGCAGTAAAAACCAGACAGGGGTTCGAATCGGTCCTAACTCTATCCAAACCTGACATACACTTTAAGGCTCCATCCACACATAGCGGCAGCGGTAACATAAGTGTGGATTATGCGTGTTTGCGGCTATTACTATAGCTGGAGCGTGTAGAATCCGGGCATAAAATGGCGTTTGGACTATTTTGCGGGACCCTACTCTGACTTGTACTTAACCTTTGTATTGGATACTATATCCCCAAGGTGTTATTAAATAAATCAGATGGAGTGTTTTGTAGTTAACATAGTCTTATATATTCACCTGTCAATGCTGATGTAAATTTCAAATACTTACAACATTGATTTGCTGCAGATTTTGGGGTAGGGCCTCCCCGTTGGCATCTAGGAGAGCAGAGTTGACCAGATAAATCCTCTAACCATGCTCACTTCACCCATAACTCCCCCCATACAAGAAATTACATGTTAAAATAAACTGCATGCACATTCTTTTTCCCCGGAACAGCACAAGGCCAATTAGCATCAGGTCCAGTAATCCATCCTGTGAAAACTCTCGAGATCTCGCTGTTCACATGAACTGACTATTAATGCATTACAAACCCATTCCTGGCATCTGACAGATCCCAGGAATTGAAGTGTGGGACTGTAATTTAACTTTATACCACACATTAAGGTGCGTGCAGTATAGGCCCTAAATAATGTGTAATTGATTAAACACTAGTGACATTTAAGGCTGCTTAGTTCTAGATGACTATATTAAAGAAAGTCCAACTTTATACTGCATTTACTGATCTATTCCCAGATATCATACTGCAGCCAGCTCCTGCTTTGACCTGGAGGACCATTGGAGGCATTGTGGATATGTATTTGTTTATGGGCCCTGACCCAAAAACTGTTATTAAGCAGTATCAGGAAGTCATTGGTAAGAATGTCATTTAAACTTGTACACTCAATGCTACAGAAATGAATGTGGAACTGAACTCAAAAGTGAAGATTCGCTATGTTATAAGGGAAAATTATAAAAGTTTGTTGAGCCATAGTGGGGGCCTCAAAAATGTACCTTTTATCAGGAATTCCACCTGAAGGACAGCTGTTAACTTCCTGGTATATGAGGGTGTCTAGGTACCCACAGCCTCATAGCTGTATATCTGCAGGGAGAGATATAAGGCACTGCTTCCTCTGACTGCTGGTCTCATGAAATTGGAGTGAGATTTGGTCATGTCACTACTGATTGTAAGGTAATTAAAAAAACATACCATCTGCCTATCTTGGACAGGCAGATCGTACTTGCGATGATCCTGCTGAGGGGCGGGCTTCCGATGACCGCAATGCCGAACGGGCAGTGTGCGCTTGCGCACACCGGCCCGTCCGGCTTTTATCTTACTAACATGCTACACACCCGCCGAAAATCGTACGATTCTTGGCGGGTTTTCGAACATGTTCCTAAGATAAAAGTCATGCGACCTTACAGTAGTAGAGGTCGCACGGCTTCCACACACCTTACAATAATCGTAGGATCAAGGGATTTCCCGCGATTATGGTACGATTATCGCAAGGTGTGTGGGCACCTTAAGGAAGCAAATACCGGCCTTTACCAAGATGGCCACCTCCATAGAGAGAGAGTGTAGAATAAGGCATGGTAAGCCAGCAAATGACAAAATATCTGCTGCAGGTAGACCAGAGTTCAATGCTTCCAGAGTTCAATTCCTCTTTATATTGTGACAAGCAATTATTAGTAATGCCAGTAAAGTCGGCCATGCACATTACAATTTGATTGTTAAATCTCTTGAAATCTGCCTACAGCTATGTAGTGTGATGACTGATTGTTTTTTTATTTATTTATTTTTTAAGTAAAACATCCACCGAGTTCAGCATTTTACAACTGCAGACGTTTTTTTTCACCCAAAAAAAAAAACAAGCCTCCTCATGTAATTGTGGCCAATGTTACCACAAAGTGGACTGATACAAACCAAAGCAGATGGATCAGTTCTCTGGATACCCCATGTTATCCTTTAATAAATTGAAATGTTTATGGATAGCTTAAATTAGTTTTTGTTAGACATCTTTCTCAACATCAGTTTATCCCATTTAGATTTTATTCCTATAATTTATATTATTTTGTTTATGAGCTGTGGGGTTGATTTACTAATGGAATAGGGGCTGTTCTTAAAGTGACACTAAACTAGTTAAATCTTAAAAATGCATTTAATTAACTTAACTATTAACAACATTTTATATTTGTGTATCACTCTGTTAAAGGAGGGTGGTAATGTAGCTACCACTCCAAGCTCACTCCCGGGATGGACTAAAATCTCAGTACAAAAATATTAAACTAAATGTGAGATTGTAGTCTATCACAGGAGCGAGCTTGGAGCAGTGGCTACTTTGCAACACACACAGGGACCATAGGGAAGAAAAGTAGCCAATCCCCCCAGAAGGAAGGAAAGTGTCAGCACCAATTCAGAGATGATTTGAGGATCTACAGCTGAGTGATACACAAATAAGCTGCATTTTTGATCATAGTTAAGGTACTTGAATGTATATTTAAGATTTAACTCTTGAGTTTAGTGTCCCTTTAACAAAGTGACATTTCCCTTAGCTTAAAGTTCTATTAAAGTCAATGTTTTACATACATCTACAGCTAGCAAGCAGTAGATACTGTATATGAGAAAACATTTAAAAAAATAAAAGTTACCAGTTAACTTATGTCTGTCTCCGCCTGCTCCCAGCTGTAGATCTGTAGCTTCTCAAGTGGCCGTGCAGGTGGATAAGTGCGGACACTTGCGCAGTAGAGATCATCAGCGGGGAGAAACATAGAGGAGGTGAATGCACGCCGCTGTGAGTGTGCACGCCTGACATGGGACACGCGGAGTCTGCAGTGGATCAGAGAACAGCAGCAGCGTTGGATGGATTGCTAAATACAAGTGAAAGGAAGATGATGATCAGATCAAGAGTCTTTAGTTACGATAAGTCCTTAAAGAAGCATTGGGAAGGAATTGTGACTTTAATGTCATTTTAAATATCCAATCATCACTATATAAGGAAACTTAAAATAATAGGTGGATTTCATGCATATGAGTGGGTGCACAGTGTTGGAGTAGAATGAGAAATAAATGGAGGATCACCCGGTTTGTTCATGAATAATTATCTTGCCATGTGAATGATAATTATTAATTACTGCTTAACTTGCATAAATATGAGCAAATAGCAACTTAAATATAAGCTGATTTACTATTTGTTATAAGTTCTCTTCTCATAACCAGATTAATTTGCATCTATCTTTTTTCTTAAGGGTTTCCCTTCATGCCACCATACTGGGCCTTTGGCTTCCACTTATGCCGCTGGGGGTACAATTCATCTGCTATGACTCGGGAAGCAGTGGAAAAAACAAGGGCTGCTGGTATACCTCTAGTAAGAAAACTATATATTTTTTTCTATTATTTTCAGTTTAGCACTAGTACAGGATTTTGCCAGCACCTCTGTATCCATAATATATATATACTGTAGATATCTGTAAAAATTGGCTTTATTTCCCAAAAGAAGCTGATGAAGCAGAGATCTGCTTCATCAGCTTCTTTTCTCTGGCTATAGCAGCCAGATGACTGACAGGTGAATGCGGAAGTGATGTATTACACATCACTTCTGCATTCACAGCCCGGAGGGAGGTCAGCAAGGAGCTGATCTCACTTCCTCTTCCTCCTGACGCCCTCCCGACCCGATCCCGGGCCGCAGATGGGGCAGAGCACATATAGACGATCGGCAGGCTATAGAGCCGGCGATCGTCTGTATGTGAAACACCCGGGTGTTTGCATTGGTCGGTTCTTTTCTGCCGTGCGCGCCCGCTAATGCTGCAGTGCCGTCCGTTTTTTTACAACGGGCGGACGGCAACTGGTTAAAGAAAAAAAACATGCTTTACTCCCAAAGCAATACTGACTTAATGCCACAGTCAAAGGGACAGCTATCATGCAACCAGGGCCGGCGTTAGGCCTTGAGGCGCCCTGCGCGAGAAAGCTTTACAGCGCCCCTCAGTGACCACACCCCCATTAACCACACCCATTTTTTCCAATAAAGACTCCTATTTTGTTAAGCCCCAAAGAAACATATTAAAAAGTATGATAAAAATAAAACTTTTATTCAAAGATTTTAAACTTGTAGGCACAATATAAGTATTTTTTATTACATAAAACAACAGAAGGCAAACAAGTAATAAACAATAAATGTCAAACTAAAATAGAGTCTATAAAAATAAAGTGTCAGGATTTCATGCAGACCCTTTTTTCAAGTAAGTGTATCTAGAAAAGTAAAAATAAAAAACAGAGCACAAAACATAGACTACGTGTTAAATTTATGAATTACTATATGCCCGAATATGCGAAAACATAATAATTTGTTTAAGAATGTGCGGCGGCCATGTTTGGCCACCGGCGCTTTCTGCGAATGCGTGCCACCATCTTGGAGGCGGGGTTCATGACGTCACATGCAGATATTGGCGCCGCCATCTTGGTGTATACCTAGATACTCACTGTGTTATATGACGTCATGCGCCCTGCCTCCAGAACACGCCAGTGGTTGAATCTAAAATAGCATAAAAATGTGTTTTGTTTGATGAATTATTATTATTTTTTACTGTTGGGGGGGTTTCGGGGAAATATTAGGGGCCTAAACAGACCCCTGACATTTACCTTTTAAAATAGAAAAGAAATTGAGGACACAAAGTCCTCAATCTCTTTTTCAGCATCCTCTGTTCTAAATGAATGGAGAGCACACAGTACAGAGGCTTCCCATTCATTCAGGCACTGATGATAGTAAAATATTTACTGTCACCAGTTTATGAATGGGGAGGAGCCTCTGTACATAGTGCTACTCCCCATTCAGAAATTCATGAATGAACAGGAAGTGATGTAAATCACATCCTGTTCATTCATAACTGGGGACACATAGTACTATGTGTCCCCAGCTATTTACAAACACTGGAGTGATCAGACGATCACTCCAGTGTTTGCTCTGCACAGAGGATTGGTAAATGTCACTGATATGTACCGATCCTCGGCTCGGCCATGCACAGAACCGCTGTCATCCTGAAACTGACAGGATGACAGTGTGACGGACCCCCTGATACCCCGACTGGATATCTCCGTCTTAAGCCTGTTCCCTGGGTGCTGGAAGCCAGTGACTATGGCATGGGCTTACACCAAAAATCAGACAATACTGACTGTGGAGTGAAACATGAACTGGTTTATTGAAGAAGAGCACACCGAGTTTATACCTCACAGAATTCAGATTCATCTCAGAAGCATTCATTGTTACATCGAACAGTTCCCTCCCCTAGACAGCCAGGTGCTGCATTGGCATTTCTTAATTAGAGAAGAGCTTAATCCCATCACTCTAAACAATGGCCCCTCCAGACAGCCTGCTGCCTTTAGAAAAGTGGTTCACAGCAAGTCAAATAGTGACCAGCTCTCCCCAGATAAAATAATATTAAACTGGAAAACACACATAGCACACAAAGTTCTCCGGGGCAATGAATCTCTGCAGCCCTAGGTCCGTCACACACAGCGGCTCAGATCTCCTTGTTGCCACAGCGCCCTGTGCGGCTGCACAGCTCGAACACACCAAAGGCCGGCCCTGCATGCAACTCCCTACCATGCTAATGGCCACATGCGATCAGGAGTGTGTTGGTGCTGCATCTTAAAAGAAAAAAAAAATCATGCAGTCTCCTGTATAAATGGAATAAGGCTGCAACAGGCAGTCTTTCCCATCTCTATAGAAGGTGGTATTCAGGGGGAGGGTGTTAAAGTGAAACTTACTAAAAATGAAGCAACAACAGTTTAGTCTGCAAATTGATTGTTCAATATTTAAAGTGTATGTCCAGACAAATTATTTTTTAGCTTTGTATAGCATGGGGAAGGAATTAGAACTTCTGCCGGGTTTTTACTACTATCTGGGGCTCTGTTAGAGAGATTTCCTCTATGTCATTTCAAAAGTAGCCACATCAGCTACACATATTCACCAACTGCCATTTGCTCCACTGCTGCTCTGTTCATCTACTGAGAACAAAGTAAAATGCTGGCTAGTTATGTGTATAGTGAGCATAGTACTGACCCTTCTTACGCCCATGTGACTTGGCAATGGGCTGCTCAATTAGCCAGCTCTTAACCCTTTGGAGGGGAGAAGGAAGTCCTCAACCCCATGTAAACTTTAGCTCGTAACCTAAAGTATAATTTCACTTTAACAGTCAAATTTGAGAAAAGCCCTTTATATGTTTGTTATGTGTTCCTATTCACACAACACACCTAAAGACAATTTAAAAAAAATATTTTACATTTTAGATGTTTTGTTGCAGGCGTCATGGCTGATCCACGTTTTTCTGAGCACCTCCACAGTGATCTGTCCTTATAGAAGGACTGAAATGTGAGGATTGTGTTTCTCTCTTTAAATTCATTAACATATGATAAAATATCCTGTTTTTTAATCCTTTAACCCCCTTGTCGGCCGGCCACTCGGCCAGCTTCGGCTTTCACCTCGGCCCAGTCGAGCCGAGGCATATGCGTTCGGCTCGTCTGAGCTGCTCGGCCGACTACGGGAGCTGTACGGGCTATACTGAATAGTCTGTACAGCACCCCTTCGGTTCTAATGAACTGAAGGGGTCCTGGGGCCAAGCAAGCCGAAGGATCAAGGATCAGCCGAAGCTACGGCTAGATCCTTTGGCAGCTTAGTGAATAGACCCCTTAAAGTTTATTTCCACTTTGCAGTCAAATTTACACAGTATGTTTGTTATGTATTCCTATTTACACGGCATACAGGGAAATATTTTTTTTAAATATGCCCTACCTTTTAAATGTTGTGTTGCAGCAAGCAACATGGCTGATCCCAGGTTTTTCTGAGCACCTTCACTGTCATCTGTCCTTAAAGAAAGACCTAGGACTGGAATTTGAAGATTGTGTTTCTCTCATTGACATAAAATGAAGAAGCTAGGCGTTTAATCCTTTAATCCCTCATCCTCACAGCCACTTCCAACATTACAAAGAAGAAGCAAGCAGAAATTTTAACCCTTAAGAAGCCAGCAAACCCTAACCCAAGTAAAAGCAATTTAAACTGCAAAAAAACTATTTAAACATTTTTTTAAGCTTATGTTATGTGAAGGGGAACATGTAACGAATATAAAATAGGTGTTATCCCAATTTGGCTGTGAAAGTGGAAATACACTTTAAGGCTTACACAGGGTGTCCCCTCTTTACTGTGGTCAGCATTAAAAAGAAATTTAAAGAGAATACTCCCATATGTGTCTTTTTTAATTCCCCTTACCTTTTTTTGCTGGTTTAGCTGAAATTAATATACGCACATGCCCTCAAATTCAGTGTTGTTCTCCGGTAATCTGCCGCTTTGCCACATGCCTGGTCCTGCACTGCCATCTATCTTCCTTATGTGATTGTAAGCCCGGTGTCTCTTCCGGGTTCAGGCAGCTGCAATGCATTTGAAGGCTTGACATAATACGGGTTAACATGCATGCACTAACCCAACACACAAATGTAAATAGGCTGTCAATGTGGTATTATTTGCAACCAGAATTTGAATTGGTGTCAGATTTTTTAAATCCAATCTACAATAGGCCTTAGAGACTGAGAAGGAGTGCAGAACAAAGTGCCAATCAGGTTTGCTGCATGCACATATGCTCAGGGGGACCATACTAGCAAGAGGAAAGAGCAAATGGGCTCATCTGTCTTCTACTGCTCCCTTACTGCTCAGTCACAGGTTGGGGGCAGCCAGGGCCAGATTTACTCTCTGCTGCTCCAAGACCAGGTTCTTCTATGTGCCCCCCCGCTCTCCATCCGCCCTCCTCCCCGCTCTCCATCCTGAAAAGAGGATCTCCAGCTGGCAGGGAGAGAGGTATCCTGCCACCCCGAGGCCGGGCCTCAGTTGGCCTTGTGAGAAATTGGACCCTGGGGGCAGCGAGATCACCAACCATATTGCGCAACTACAGTAGAAAAAGTAAGACTGGCTGTACAGTTTGAGGTGAACATAGCTTCACCTTATTTGCTAAATGAACATCCACTTGGCTAAGTGGGCATTGTCTAAATATACCTCTATCAATATCTTGTGGAATCCCTTTTCAATGGACTTAGAAAACGTAATTTAGGTAAATCTAGTAGACTGTAACCCTAGCATTGTTTTAATGTTTCTAAATACACATAGCACATAATTAAAGTGTTTTTCTAGCCTGGAATTCCTGTTTAAAGCCAGAATGTAAATAGTTGTATTGGTTTCTTACTTCATTATGGTCTAATTTTTTGCAGGAAGTGCAGTGGAATGATATTGACTACATGGATGCATACCGAGATTTCACATATGACCCGGACCATTTTGGAGATTTGCCAGAGATGGTGAATGATTTGCATGACATGGGCATGAAATATGTGGCGATAATGGTAAGAACAGAAAGGCTATGGCTTAATAAAGTATTAAGCTGATATAACAGCTAAAAAAAGATGACTCTCTCTGTGTTTGACCTATTTCTACAGGAACCAGCCATTGGCAATAGTAGTCCTCCTGGAAGCTATCCACCCTATGAAGATGGATTACAGAGAGGCATTTATGTTACCAATGAAACCGGACAGCCTCTTGTGGGCAAGGTAAAGCAGCTTCCATGTTTTGTTTCTTGCTCTATTTGTGCATGATGTTGATTGTAAATATTTAAAATTTGATTTAACTATTTTGACTGTTGCGTAGCACAGCAGCACTAACTGATATTTCCATTTTGGGTAGGGGTCAGCAGGTGTAATCACCTACCAGCTTTCCACATCTCCTATAGGTACAGCCATCTATCTGTGCATGGCATTTACAAAGTTGTAACCTTCTAAATTCAATTAGAAAGTTAAAATTTAATTTGTATCATCTATTTAAAGGATTTAACCCCTTCATGACTGAGCTTGTTTTTAGTTTCTGTTCGTAAATGACTGACACACTTTTGACATTTTTGCTGTGTGATTCTTCCACGTCAGTAATATACTTTCTTACAAAGTGCACCCACACATATTATATATTGTTTTTTAGAGGACAGATAGGGCTACATATTTATATCACATATGTGTGTCTAACGCCTCACTTAGGACAAATAAAATATAAAAAAGAGGAAAAAACGTTAAAAAACACTTTTCCCAGTTTTGATTTTGTAGTATTTTTTTACAAAAACCAGCACAGCTAAAAAAAAATGCAATAAATACATTCATTTATCTGTCCCTTATTTTATTTTATTTTTACACTTTTTCTTTTTACACTTTTCACCATTTTTTTTAAACTTAAAAACTTTATTTTATTTAATTATATCAAGCAGTCATTGTGAATTATAAAAAAAAAAGCCAGTATAGCTTGAGAGAGATATCTCTCGATCTATACGAGCTGTCAGAATGCCGGCAAAAGCCGGCATCTGTGTCCGCTTTGCTTTGACTCTCAGACACCCGATATTAAGGTATCGGGTGTCTGAAAAAGGTTAACCCTTTCATTAATGAATGCCTCTGTAGTAAGGGCATACATTAATGAATGTTAAAAGCTGATTCTCAGCGATTAACAGCCCTCTAAAGCAGCAAATAACTCGTCACGTACAGTGTACGTGACAAGTCATTTGGTCCCTTTGTGGCTGGACGTACAGTGTACGTCTCCCGTCACGAAGGGGTTAATACTTTTTTGGTTATTATCAGGCTGCTTCAAACTTCAGAACAGCCGATAATAAGTTAGTGACACTGATCCTGCAGCAGTTCAGGATTCAGCTGTCACTAGTTTTCTGATTGTTCCAACAACTATCAGAAAACTGAAACATTCTTCTTTCAGGAATAGATACACTATGTATCTATTCCTAAAAGTGAACAAAAAAAAGCCACTATAGCTTGAGAGATATCTCTTGATCTATACGAGCTGTCAGAATGCCGGCTTTTGCCGGCATGTGTGCCCTCTCTGCTTTGACTCTCAGACACCCGACATTAAGGTATCGGGTGTCTGAAAAAGGTTAACCCTTTCATTAATGGATGGATGTCATTTGGTCCCTTTGTGGCGGAATGTACAGTGTACGTCTCTCGTCACAAAGGGGTTAATTGGATAATTCTTTTTGGAACTTCATCCCTAATTGTCCTGATGACCATTTTTAACTGGGACTATAAGTGAGATAAAATCCGAAATTCTTAGTTGTCACCGGATCAAGAATATAAGGCATGTCTTTTAATTTTGTCCCTTCCTTTTGAGACATATTGCTGTGGTGTATTGGGACAAGAAGTGAAGGAAAATTTCCCAAAAGGTGACACAGGCAGCAAAAAAAGCATTGTTTCTATGAAAAAAAAAGAGGAAATCTACATCAAACTTTAACAACCATCTGGCTGGGGGGGCCTTCACTCACATATATAAGATTTTAATTCCTCTACTCTGGTGATTTCAAAACAATTAACACCTTCAGTCATAATACTTGAATACTTGAATAGTTAACACATGTCCCAGACTTTAGGCACCCCGGTGATTGCTTTATGGAAATAGAAAAGGGCGGTTTCACCATTCTAGTGTGGTTGGATTAAGATGACTGAGTTAGTCATGTGTCTATACAGGCTGGGTGTTTAGAACTGAAGAATCTAATTTCTAATCAAATTTAGAATAAAATTTAACTGGACTTGTTCTGTAATTCCGAAGACATTTAACTACTGATCTAACTAGATCAATAGTTAAATGTCTTTGAAATTACAGAACAAGTCAAGTTAAATGTGACCAAATACTACTAGTGTATTGTGTATACATTTTTCCATTTGTTTAATGAATAACAGAGTTTCTACCTGCCATTATATTTAAATTAAGATTTCTAAGCTGGCCAAACAAAGGAATTTGAATATACAAGTTAAAACATTTTTGGTGCATTGATGGATGTGGGTAAAAGGAGGAAGAGCAAAGACAAAGACACTCTGTTGGGAATGGTTACACCGCTTCTTTTTAAATTAGTACATAACCTTAAAGATCATCTTCATGTTAGTTTTAAAAATCACTATTGTGATCGGCCTAGAAGTAAAAATATAACTTTTTCCACATAAACTAAGAACTTGACAAGGTCTGCCTAACTTAACTCAAAGTCTTGGACATGCTGAGGAGATTTAGCAGTACCAAACAGAAGAGCTACACCAGTCTATTGCATTACAAACTTGGATTTTGCTAATATTTGAGTTTCAACCAATCAGCTTCCCTGCTGTTTATCCTGCCGACCTGTTAGCCAATTGGCTCAATCTGAGTGTACAATCTTTAGAAACTTACAAAGTCTCTCCTGCAATAAAAGCCTTCCTGTTAGATGTTTTTTTCCTACATGCTATAGTTCTGCTTCAAGATAAACTGTGCCATAGTAATACAGTTTAAAATAACATTTACAGACAAGTGCTTTATACTCTAGTCCCCATTCTCACACCAGTTATTGCATGTCTCTTAAGCTGCCCGTCAGCATGTCATCGGACGAAAAGTTTGATCGAGCCGTCGTACGATTTTCGTATGGCGGCCCCATCCTGCCCCGATTAGCGCAAGGTTGAATCAGCAGTAATTAACAGAAAAGCACCTGGACAATTTGCGGTAATCGACCGCACGTATTTTCATCTGCGCATGTGCAGTGTAAATCATACGAATTTTGACATACAGAAACGCCACCAACCTTGCGAAAATCGTACGATCGACTGAAGTTTTTTTAACCTGCTGGTTAGTCAAAAGTCGACCAATTGTACAGTATTTGCGGTTGTACACTGCCCATCAACCTAACAAAAAATCGGACGAAAACGCGATCGTTCGTTGCATCCAGCACGAACCCGAGTCTGCTTGTGTCTGTGTGCCTCCTCCACACACAACTCCCTTGAACTCTGGTCCAGGCTCCTAATAAGGCTGCTCTCAGCCACCTGATCCTATACTGGTCATTGGCAACACCTGGCCCTGAGACTCGAGATTCCATCCTACTATAGTCCGGAAAACCTGGAAGAAACTGAAAAGCCAGTTTCCTCCCTGCAAAGGTATTCACATGCTGGAACCTCTCAGCTGTGAACAAGTGAAAGCGGTTCAAGGCCAGTTTAATCAGAACCTTCTAAAAAGCACACTTTTACTTGTTCAAAATATTAACTATATACAAACTAAGAATAAGAGAATAAGATTATTTCTATCAATCATAGGTCTGTTTAGACCCCTTATATTTCCCAAAGCCCCCGACAGTAAAGTTAAAAAATAAAAATATTTACAAATAAAAAATATAATATATAATATAAAAAAATAAAACGTTTAGAAAAAAATAAATACAAATAAAAAGGTTCAGGATTTGAAATAAAATAATTTTCGGTTTCAAAATTTCATTTAGGTGCACCTCTAATGGTAGCCCATATGCTTTAATGCTTTCCAGTCAGTAACCCAGAATAATCTCATGTAGATCAGAAAAGATGAAGAAAAACCAAAATCCTCAATCTGCACTATTGTTCCAGGTCAGTGACTCTAAGGGGGTTATTCACTAAGCTTCCAAAGGCAGCCAAATGAATAACCGAAGTGAAATGAGCCGAAGCCTGTCCGGCTATTCACTACAACCATGTATAGCTATTCTTAAGGTGCCCATACACTGTACGATTATCATACGAGAATCACGGGAAATCCCGCGATCGTACGATAATGGCAAAGTGTATGGAAGGTGTGCGACCGTTTCTACTGTACGGTTGCACATCTTCCTTTGAACAAGCAGGCTTGAAGGTTAGTGCCCTGCTTGTTCGACAACTGCCAAATGGGCCGGTGTGCGCATGCGCACACTGCCCGTTTGCAGTCATCGGAAGCCCGCCCCTCGTTGCAGTCCCTCAGGGGGGCGGGCTTGCAATGATCGCAAGTACGATCTGCCTGTTCAAGATGGGCAGAGCGTACAAGCTTTTAATAAGCTTACGACCATCGCAAGACAAAAGTCTTGGTTGTAAGGTGTATGGGCACCTTAAGCCATATATCAGCTGCATTCGGTTCACTTCACCTCCCTTCGGCTCAGCCAAACAGCCTCAGCATGTTCGTCCGAACCAAAGGAAAGAGCCTGTTAACCTCAGCTGATGCATTATATGAATCAGCTGAAGCGAACGTTCGGCAGTTCATTCCCTGCTGTTCACCACTATTCTCCAAGGGGCTGAACAGCAGAGAGTTAATTGCTGAATGTTTGGCTCAGCATACGGTTCAGAAAACTGTTGGTATAAAATTAAAAAAAACAGTGCGGGGTCTACTCCCCAATTCATAACAGACCCTTTAGGTCTGGTAGGATTGTTAGGGGGACAACTACCCCTTATTAATTCACAAGGGGGGGCATGAAAGGAGGTACATAGATGCAGAAGAGCCCCTCTACCCGCACACCCCCCACAACCACTGTGCCAGGGTTATGGGGAAGAGGCCCTTTTCATCGGCATGAGGACAAGGTGCTTTTTCAGGCCTCACCACCCCCCAGAAAAGCACCCTCCCCATGTTGAGGGCATGTCACCTGGTATGGTGCAGGAGGGGAGACGCTCGCTTGTCTCCCCCTTTCCTGCTTTACCAGACCACTGCTCGGATTAAGAGTCTGGTATAGAATTTTAGGGGACTCAACATTTTTTTTTCTTTGTTTTTTTGGTGTTGGGGCCCTCAAAATTCCAATCAGACCTAAAACGGTCTGGTATTACTTTGCAGGGGAACCCCACATTTTTTTTGCTGGACATCAGGGTCCCCCTATCATTCCTATCAGACCTAAAGGGTCTGGTATGATTCAGGGAGGGTCTTTTTTATTCTTTTGGACACAAGCAGGGATTTGATCTGCTTCTGCGGACCATTCTCCCCGGTTCGGCTGTTTGTTTGGCTTTGCCAAGCCAAAGCATGTGCGTTCGGCTCAGCTGTTTACTTTGCCTGCTTTTAGCTGCTTTACGCACTCTTGAGAATAGCACGTACAGCAGCCCTTCGGTTCAGCTGAGCTGAAGGGTTTCTGCAGCCGAAGCAAGCTGAAGGATAAGGTGAACGTTTGGCTACATCCTTCGGCTCTTTAGTGAATAACCTCCTAATTATTGAAGCAAGAGGGAGAGACAGTCAGCTAATTAGCATTTTAGAAGGAGAGGTTAAGCGATGACAGCTTCCATAATCTGTTTATGACAGCTTTCCTTTAAAGCCCAACTGCAGCTTATGGTAAAAAATACAAATTAATTGCCCTGCACTAGTTAAAATATTTATCCAGCAAGGTCCTGGTTGAATCTTTGAACCGTTTCTTGCAAGCCAAAGGACCTGCCCATCAAGCCATCCTGAGCTCACAGGAGATCGATGCAGAGAGCAGCACCAGCATTGTCATGATATGGCACAATTCTGTGTGGCATTTAGGACCTGCCTACTACAGGAGGAAGAAGAGGAGGGAGGAGGGGGACCCTTGATGTTATGCGCCTACAAAGAAGACCAATGGAAATAAAGGGATATATACAAACATTTTTGAAAATTAAAGGTGTTGGAGGGAGGGGCTCCAAGGGGGGCTAACCTGGACTTGGGTTTTAAAGGAGTACATATATCAAAGTTCAACAAGTCTCTCAGTTCAACTTTGATCAACTGCTAGAAAAGAAAAAGAAAACAAAAAAATGATCGTTAGAAACCTTCCCTACGGGATAATGAAATTTGTCTAAACAAGTAAGTAATTAAGTAAAATCCAGGAAATCTACAGATACAGGTATAATATTGTGAGCTCTATTTAAACCAATTCATCTTTTTGCTTTTGTCAAATTCTTCTGCAGGTCTGGCCTGGCAATACTGTGTTTGTTGATTTCACAAACCCTGAAGCTCACAAATGGTGGCACGACATGTTCAAGGCCTTTCATGACAAAGTACCTTTTGATGGGGCTTGGATTGTAAGTAACACATAAAAGGTGCTCACAAAATGACTGACATGTAGTAAAACCATTTTTATAAAAAAGCTAATTTAAATAATGTGTATATGTTTGCATGTATACCACACCAACTCCTCCATTGAGCTCTGGTCTGGGCTCTTAATGAGGCTGCTCTCAGCCACCTGATCACTGGCAACACCTGACCTCAGGCCTGGAGATTTCATCCCACCCTGAACTCTTTTAGGCTGGGTTCACACCTAGGCGTATCGAATATGCGCGTTTCGTGTTGCGCTATTCACGTTAGACAAACACGCGTTTTCCGAGGGCTACTTGGCTGTATCCAAATGGAAACGTGCGACAAAAACGCCCCAAAGAAGCTCCTGTACTTCTTTGGGCGTAGGACGTTTTGTAGCGCGTTCATATGGTCTGTAATACACCCAGGTGTGAACCATACCCAAAGGAAATAATGGGATTTCGTTGTTTGAGCGTTTTGCAGAGCGTTCGAACGCGCTACAAAATGCCCAGGTGCGAACCGGGCCTTAGACTGGGTTCACACCTGGGCGTTTTTCAGCGCTGATCGAAGCATCAACCCGTGAAATCCCATACTTCTCTATGGGCATGGTTCCCACCTAGGCGTATTTCAGCCCATGGAAACGCGCTCAAAACCGCCCTATGCCCAAACAAGTACAGGAGCTTCTTTGGGGTGTTTTTCCATGCGTTTCCATTGGTATTCCCGAGTGTGGCTCGGGGTTAACAAAGCGATAACCACGGGCCACACTCGGGAATACAGAGCAGGACTTACCTTGTCTTGCGAGCGGCCACGTCGCAGGGGGGCGGAACCGGCGGGAAGTTGGAAAAATTTTTTAAATATAGAGAAAATAATAAAGGAAAAAAAATCATACCCACAGCTAAGAGAGATTCCATGCTATGTTGCTACTGCTTTTATGTGAGTAATTTTCTTTTAATAAATCATACTCTGTTTGGATGGTACGCACTATGGTGTTTGCTTGATTTTTTGGATAACACGATCCTGGTATTGACATCCTATACTGAGGAGGCCTACAGTTCGATAAAGATTGGAGGTCATTGTTTCCCTACTAAAGAAGTGATATACAGATCTGTCTGCTGGTCTGATTACATCATTGGAGGACATCTGTGAGCGATTGGAGCTGAGGGCCCCCTCCCCTGGTTAAGAAGGCAATTGCCTGATTTGACCTTTTGTTGGGGTCTATCAATAAGGTGAGCACCACTATATCTGGTGTGGTGCATTTGGTGAAGGAACAAGAAATATTCATCACGATTGTTATAATTATGGACATTTTCAGAGTTATGAACATTTATAGACTTTACACCTGATCGCTTTTCGGCTAAGCCGAAGTGCAGGAGGATTTCGACTCAAACGATCCAGCATCTGGATCGGCTGAGCTGAAGCTCCGATAGCTCGCTCGCAGGTGTTGCCCCCTATTCACATAGAGGCCGAACGGCGGTGAGTGAATAGCCGAATGCCGCCGAGCCTGTGGCCGGCCGTTCGCCCTGCTTTGGCTGTCACTTTTGCTCAGTTGAGCCGAAGCATATGCCTTCGGCTCGGCTGAGCCGCCTTCGGGAGCTGTACGGGCTATAGTGAATAGCCCGTACAGCAGCCCTTCGGTTCGACTGCAACTGAAGCTACCCGATGTATCAGCCGAAGCTACGGCTGGATCCTTCGGCAGCTTTGTGAAGATATCAATCTAGTGATTTGTAGCCCTAACAAAGTATAATCATGTCACACACTGTCAGCTGTTCACCGCTTAGGCCCCGTTCACACTGAGCGATTTATCGCGCGATATCGCGGATATTTACTGCGGGATATCGCTCTCCAATACATCTCAATGGGGCTCTGTCTGTCGCTGTCGCGGGTCGTGCGTCGCTACAGCAGGACCCTTTTTGGAGCGGATTTTGCCGCGATTCTAGTCTTTTCAATGCAAGCATTTGCGCGACATCGCGCAACATGCAAATCGCACGACAAACGCGCGATTTGCGAATCGCTCAGTGTGAATGGGGCCTTAGACTCCCTGATTGATCCCGATTTATGAGATGATTTGGAGTTCTTTCACACAGACTTTCGGATCGAGTCCACCTGTCAGTTTTTCAGGCGGACCTGATCGGAAGCCCAATGATAATCTATGGGCAGCCAGATCAAAATGGATGGGTGTCTGTTTACATCTGGTTACCCCCGTCTCCACCTAGGGAAAAAACGATCAGAGTTCCAGATAGTGCCAGATCGGGGTAATCTGATGTAATTAGACACAGGTCCATTTTCATCCAATTCCCCATAGATCAACATGGGTCCAGTAATGTCAGACACAACGGTGACATCCGTTCATATTAGCAGGGAATCCCTGAAAGAATCACCTCCTAATCGGACCGTGTGAAAGGGGCCTTACAAGGGACCGTGTAAAAGGGGGTGTTATAATTTGTTTAATTTTATGATTATACTTTGTTAGCACTACAATCACTAGATTGATATTTGATACTCTTACTAAGAGGTGCTTTCTTCACTTGTAAATGTATTTATTTATAGCAGCTTGTTGAGAGGGTATATATACAAAGGGTCATATCACAGTGAATATAGGTTGTACCTAATGTGAAAAACTTGTATAAATACATTAGATTCATTAAAGATGCAAATGTTTAGAGGATTTTCAGGTCTTCTAGCTCAGTCGTAGTTTGGACTCAAACCCTGCGCTAAGATAAGTTATTTCACAACTCCCTATCCCCTGCTACTCAGTTACTTATCTAATGGACAAAACTGACTACTACTTACCACCTACCAGAACTGACTACCTACCAGAAGCAACAGCCTTCCTTTGGCTAATTTAAATGAAAATGATCAGGATTCAATATAATATCAAGGATAATATCAAAATGTGTGATTTTTTTTGTATATGTACATATGTTATGTCTATGAAAAAAAGGATATCATATCTTACCTGAACACTTTGGTGAAAGGTAAACAAAAGGGCTTTGGAGGAACATCCTTTTTAAATCAGTCTAAATCTAAGTGAGAGCTATGGGTAACTACAATTGTCAAATCAGCATTGCTATTTTCATAATTAAATTAAATGAGCTTTTTATTACGGTAATTGCGGTGCTTCTATAAATGGTGTTACTATATAACTTGATTAGGACCTACAAATTTGCCTAATGCCTCCACCTTTTCACATAGGACATGAATGAGCCGGCTAATAATGTTCATGGCTCCTTGAATGGATGTCCAGACAACAGTATTGAAAACCCACCATATGTGCCTGGTAAGTTTTACATTTATAGACAGCCTGTTCCCTTGGTTTCTAGGCTGACTAGAATGATTTCCTCCCATGTTTCTTTTTAGGACTAAGGGTTTTGTTCACACAAACTATTTTTATATTGTTGCGCACTGCATTTAGAGCACTGCAAGCACAGAACACCACATCTGTTTAACCTATCATCATCTGCAAGGTGAAGACTGCATCTTGTACCTCAAGGGAGGTCTCAATGAAAGTTGAAGCAGATGAATACTGTGTGCACTATTTTTTTTCTCCTTCATTGTGTACAATATTGCTACCTCTGACTGCTAGGCTCAGGATGTATGGAATGAGATTTGGTCATGTCATTACTGGGCTGCTCACAGTTCCCTTTGCTGAAGTCTCTGACATGAAGAAGGACAGCTCTATGTCTCCACAAAAAATGACTGTACTATAGACCTTGCTGTATGTCCTCTACTATACATTCTGAAATCAAACATTATATCCAGTGGGATCTATGATGCATATGCATTGCTATATGACGTTCAGCTGCTCTCACAGGAAACTGTGACAATCCTTTGGTAATGGCTTGGTGAGTGCATCTGCAGTCGTTTCTTCTGATGCGCAATATTGCATGTTGATAATGGCTTGCTCTTGAGTGTCCAGGTTTTATTTTTTTGGAGTGATTTTATTTCTTCTTCTGCTGCCAGTCTCCATTGATTGGCTTCCTGTTTTGGTAATTTTTCTGTTGAGTATGCTATGTGTCTTAGCAGTATATGACAGCTTGCAGAGTGATATTCCCTTTGTTGCCTGAGTGGATCTTCTAATTTCAAGTTGTTCAGCAGATGTTATCATGGAACTTGACTTGTATGTTGTGAGTTCCGCCTCTTGTTCTAACTCCTGTGCGGCTTCACTTTGCTCAGCTTCCTTTGCTGGTTCACTGGGTGAATTCACTTCACAACTTCCCGGGATCATCGTTTCTGGTGATGGGTTCTTGAGATAAACACTGAAACTTATTGTCACTTTGTCAGTCTTTGGGTGGAGGACTCTATATTCCTTACTTTGTTCACTATAGCCCACCAGAATACCTTCAATGGCTGTGTTCTCCAACTTGGATCGCTTCTCCTTTGATATATATGCGTAAACTTTACATCCAAAAACTCTGCTGTGCCCTAGGCTGGGCTTCAATCCATTTCAAATGGGGTGATTTCAACGACTTTTGATGGTAGTCTGTTCTTACATAGTTACATAGTTAGTCAGGTTGAAAAAAAGACACAAGTCCATCGAGTTCACCCTATGTCCTGTAGGTATGTTGCAGTCATGACTGCTTCTCCTCAGTACTGGCGTCTGACAGCATGCATCTGGCAATTTCTATTAGAGTGCAATTCTTTTCCGTTCTGCTACACCATTTTGTTCAAGAATGTATGTGGTAGGCTGGTATATTATCCCTTGTTTCTTAAGATATGATTCCACTTCCTTACTGATGTATTTCCCTCCGTTGTCAGTGCGTATAATTCCTGGTTTCCATTGGGATTTTTTGCTGGACATGACTACAAACTCTTGAAGTTTTTCTGATGTTTCATTCTTGTGCTTCATCAGATAAGTTGTTTTGTACCTGGAATAATTATCAATGAAAGTAGATACCTGTTCCCACCTGATGTGGGAGTTTTCATTGGTCTGTACACGTTGCTGTGTATGAGCTCCAAGGAGTTAATGGGTTTTCTTTGGGTGGCCTGTGGAAGTGGGGTATGTGTGGTCTTTGCTTCCATACAGCATTTGCATGTCATGAGCATTTGGCAGGTTAGTACGGTTATATCTTCTGATAAGCCTCTCCTTATAAAATCTTTTTATGACTTCTGGGTTTCAGTGCCCTAGTCGTCTGTGCCGTAGGTGGATACATTTGTTGTGTGCATTATGAGTGGCTGTCTTGACTTGTTCATCTGCAGTGATGTGTGCAGGTGTTCATCCAATTTTCCTTTTGTGAGGATTTGTTTATTGTACATTCATCATCTCGGTATTGAATTGTGAGACCATTATTAGCAAGGGTTTTCGTTGATAGAAGGCTTCATTCTAGGTCTGGGACACACAGTAAATTTTTCACAAGGATACTCTGCTTGTCCCCTGATGGTGTGATGCAGTTCAAGAATCTTTGACCTTTGCCTTCTGCAGTGATACTTTTCCCGTCCTTTGCTCTGAAATTAATTTCTGAAAAGAATGTCTCATCACTAGTCATGTGACTCGTTGTGAGTCAATACACCGTCCGCATGGTATGCTGTTCTGAGTCACTTTAAAGGTAGCGCTCCATGATCTGCCTGCAGTTTCCTTTGTGGCTGCCTTAGCTCTTTCTCTTGTATGTGCCTCTTGCTTTCACTGCTTGGTTTTGCAGATTGAACAGTCGTTTTTCAGGTGACCAGTCTTTTACATCGAAAACACGCAATGCTTTCTTTGTTTTGCTTTGCGCTCTCATGCACATGGGCTTTCTCGTTTTCTTCAATGTGCATATTTTCTTTCCTTCTGTCATATTCATTGAATAATTTTCTATGATTTTTCAGCATGGCATTATCATGTTCACACATTTCCTGGCCTTTTTCTAGCATCATCTTATATAGCTTGTGTAGCAGACATAGTTTACTGTTTAGGCTTGAACGCTCATGCAGATTTTGTAATGCAGTCCACATACCTATAGCTGTATTTTCTTTTCTTATGTGGATGAGCTGGTCGTTTTCCACTAGCAGACTTATAATTGCTTTTGCTTGCCTGTTCTTCTTGTCCCATTTCTCCACGTGTCCATTGCTGGTTCTGTCTGTACTCAATGTTGATAAGAAATTAAAGCTGAAATTTAAGCAGAAAAACCCCCACAAATTTCAATTTGTTCAATTTAAAAAACAAATATGAAAGTTATTTTTAACCAAACAACAAAGAAAACAATTATGGGATTTCCAGGTACCACTCCTATTATCAAACACAGTATTTAAAAATTAATCAGAATTGTTTTTATCAATCACTAATATTTTACAGTCTCTCTCAGGAGATAAAACTGTAATTCTACTACTATACAAAACAATGGTTCAGCCTCATCTTCAGTATGGAGGACAGTTTTGGTAAGCAGTCTTCAGGAAGGATGTCCTTGAACTAGAGAAAGCTCAGAGAAGGGAGACAAAATTAATAAGAAAGATGGAGGACCTGAGTTATGAAGATTGACAACTGAAATTAAACTTGTTTTCATTAGAGAAGAGGTGCCTAAGAAGGTCTATGATTGCAATATGAACATCTGTCCATGGGGACTGCAGTATCGTGAATAAACTGTTTAAGCTAAGGATTCTGAAGAACAGACTTGCACAAGAAGCGGTTTAATCTTATACTGCATCAGGAGCAGAGCAGCAGAAATGTGAAATTCCCTTTCACAGTTAAAAGCATCAGCTCATTTTAGACGAGTTTCTCAGTTTACAATATACACTGCCTGACCAAAAAAAGTAATACATTCTAATATATTGCTGGACCACCTTTAGCTTTGATGACAACAGACATTCACAGTGGCATTGTTTCAATAACCTTATGCAACATCACAATTATTTCCACCCGAAGTTGCATTAATTTTTTAACGAAGATCTTGTAGAGATGATGGAAGAGTCAAACCACTACATAAAGTCTTCTCCAGCACATCCCAAAAATTCTCAATGGGGTTAAGGTCTGGACTCTGTGGTGGCCAATCTATGTGTGGAAATGATGTCTCATGATCCCTGAACCATTCTTTCACAATTTGAGCCCTATGAATCCTGGCATTGTCATCTTGGACTATGCCCGTGCCATCAGGGAAGAAAAAATCCATTGATGGTAAAACCTGGTCATTTAGTATATTTAGGTAGGGAGCTGACCTACTTTTTTGGGAACCTAGTGCTGCTGAACCTAGACCAATTATCCAATGGAGGGCTCTTACCTATTTGCTTAGCTAATAGGTTGGACTTGATGGACTAATGTCTTTATTCAACCTCAAATACTATGTAACTATGTAGCTACAGTAAATCCAGGTGGTGACTTTTCATGGACGTGCAGTGTATACAGGAATATGGATGTTCATAACATCATGTACACAAACACACACATACATATAGGTTGAACAAGATGGACCTGTGTCTTTTTTCAACCTTACAAACTATGTAACAATCTTACATTAAAAAGGGATCAATGATCATACATAGTTGACATCCTGGTCATATAGCAATTACACTTTCCTCCTGAATCCAGAACCAATTGCTTGGCTGTTATGCACATACTGCACATCCGTGGTTATAACTATCACCATACAGATTTTTTTAAGCCAGTTCTTGCAGAGGAGTTAGGATAGTTTCCAACATGTTTCCCAGATTTTTAATCTGCTACATTTAAGAGATTTGCAGAATGTAGTTAAGTGATGTGGTGCCCTTTTATCCATCATGTCCTTAAATATGGCTATCTTTGTAAAAAATGCATTTACTACATAGTTTAAGGACCTACATTTGTCTTTATATCAGCCTCTTACAATCCTCAGTAGGCTGGAAGAGGGAGAAACAGGACTGGAATCCACTGAGGGGTGCTTCATGCAAATTATTTCACAAGCAACATGCTGACAAGAGGAGAGCAAAATAGGGAACTGCTGCTGCTCTTTCACCATCCAGTCACAGGCTGAGGGCAGGACAGTGATCAAGCTTTATTGATTACCTGCAGCAGAGCAAAGGCAGGTCACCAGCCTGGCAGCATAGTCTAGCAGGGCTGTATAAATTTCAATTTACTGGGTGGATAGAAATTCAAATCCTTTGACAGGTAACACAGCTCTGTATGTATTTCAACTGTGTATTTATCTTTTTGTTTAATAAATGTACAGCGCTATAAGTCCAATGAATATTAAATTGATGAGATGGGTCTATTACTGTAAATGATTGATTTAACAATAACCATCTCTTTGAGTATAAACACAGTCTCATATGCAGTGTGTGAATATATTACATATAATAAATATACATAAATATGTAAATAAATATCAAACTTATTGCCACTCTATAACAGAAAAAAAAATTGTGCAAACCATGCAAAAGCGTGCAGATAGTGTAAAAAACCTCTCTGTGCATAAATATTCCAGTATCCAAGAAAAATAAATGTATCTTACTAGACTTATAAGGGATAAATAGCTAAACATGACCCTTATGGAATAATATCATATAAAATGTGATCAGTCCATAATCAAATTCATATGTGAAAAATAGTCTCTGTGAAAAAATATATATCTCCAAAAAGTGCAACATGAATAAAGTCCCAAAGTGCTGAAGTGCTTATTAGACTCGCCGGAGATCGTATTGGTGTCACACATAAACCCCCTCAAGAGCAAAAGGCTGTGTCAAACAACCCAAAAGACATTCTCTGATAGACCACGATGTTACAGCGTCTTCAATAGATAATCTACAGCTGATATCCGGTAGAGCGATGTATCCCCATAATCATAGATAGAAATGAGGAGCCTTTTTTACAACATCTTTCATTCTGTTCTCTACCTCTGAGGTAGTGAACAGAATGACTGAACCGAATGAAGAGCCGACCATTCAGCACTTCACTCTCTGCTGTTCGGCCCCTTAGAGAATAGGGCTGAACAGCAGAGAAGGAACTGCCGAACATTCGCCCTAGCCGATCCAGATGTTGAATCGGCTGAGGCGAACGGATTCTTTCCTTCGATTCGGCCGAATGTCCTGAGGCTGTTTGGTCGAGCCGAAGGGAGGTGAAGTGAGCCGAATGCAGCCGATGTACGGCTCAAAATAGCCGTACACGGATGCAGTAAATGGCCCAACAGGCTTCGGCTCACTTCACTTTGGATCGCTTATTCATTTGCCTGCCTTCGGCAGCTTAGTGAATAACCGCCATATTTGTTTTAAGGTTTAGTAGCATTTTAATGCTATTGAATGTAAAATGTTGTGTAACTTTGTTAAATTATTTTATTGGCTTGGTTTTACTTCCACTGTCTGAAATGTTTTCTTTTTGAACTGTGATGATCTATTTAACAGATGTTGTTGGGAAAGTATTACGTGATACCACCATCTGTGCCTCCAGCTACCAGAACATCTCATCACACTACAATCTTCATAATATGTATGGACTTTTTGAAGCAATAGCAACTCATGAGTAAGTAAATGTTAATATACAATAATGTTAGCAATGCATAAAGCCTAAACATCTAAATTCCAGTCACCTTCAGTCTTGCACAGTTGTACAGACTCCAGTACTTAAACAACCTAATCCAAATTCACTGCACACTGTATATGCTTCTCACAGTGTGCATTAGAAGCTGCAGCGAGTCAGATGGAACCTTCCTAGGAAACATCCAGCCCTTGGCCTGCCCCTTTCATTGTTTGTATTTCAGTTGTTTCAATCATGAAGGCTCAGCATGTGGGCGTTACCTAGGGCAAGCTGCATAGCAATTTAGACTGCGTAGTAACGCCCACTCCTTCAGACAAACATCCCCCATCAATTTTTATATTTCTATAAATCTTCCCTAAAGGCTTGCCACCTGTCCGGGATTCACTCGGACAGTCCAGTTTTTGAGTCTTGTGCCCACGTTTCCATCCAGGTGATAACCGGACACAAGAAACTAAGTGCCATTGCTGGCACTTAATAAATTTTCACAGATGCAGCTGCCTGTGAGCCGCCCCGGATCCCTGGTGAGACACTGCATAGCCCACCTGAGACCCCCACACAGCCAACTGAGAGTGCGCACAGTTCACCTGAGAGTGCGCACAGTTCACCTCAGAGTGCGCACAGCTCACCTGAGTGCGCACACCCCCCCTCAGAGCAGTAGACACCGGCATCAAAAATAAAAAACAAAGGTTTTAATTATTCTATAATCCAAAATTATAAATATTTCTTTACAAAAATGTTTTATAATTTGAAGCAACTCTAAACACCACAAAAAAGACAAAATATTGCAGGTTACCAGTACTTACGTGTAGTGGCTCACATTAGATTTGTTTGTTTTTTTCATTTATTTTCACCTGGTAATCCTGCAAATAACACACACCCTGTCTCTGGGTGTATACACTCACTCTTCCACTGTATCTATGAAGGGAGCTTTACACAGGCTGTACTTCAAACATGTCTGCCTATGTTTGTCTCCATTACATGGGAAATGGGGAGATTAGCAGTTCACAAAAGAAAGTTTAAAAGCATTTTAGTGCATTTTTTTACTGAAAATTCGAGAAACAACTATGTAAATATTGTGTGACATAAAAAAATTGCAATTGATACCATTCTATTCTACAGGCGAAAAGTTGTAGGGACAGTCCAGATATCAAGCGCTCTGAAGGAAGTGTCCACACACACATATATATGTGTGGGCAGGGGGTAATAGTGGTGTGCGGCTTCCTGATGGTACAGACCGGGGTGTCCGACACGTGTAATAGTAGAACAAAAAAGAGAAAAGGGAAGCGCCACGATCGGGGAGAACAATTGTTGTGGACCAATCAATGAGGCCTGGTTGGTTGTTGGAGTGGTCCGACTGGCTTGATGGTGATGCTATGCCACATCAAAGGGCGCATAGACTGTGGCCTGGATTGAGGTGGGAGTCAGGGGTGCTGCATTCTCTAGAGTCCAGTGGCGGCGTGCTTTACACCACTGCATCCGACACTTTGCATTGCACTTACTGATGTAAGCCTTGGATGCAGCTGCTTGGCCATGGAAAGCCATTCCATGATGCTCTCTACGCACTGTTTTTGTGCCAATCTGAAGGCCACACGAAGTTTGGAGGTCTGTAGCTATTGACTCTGCAGACAGTTGGCGACTTCTGCGCACTGTGCACTTCAGCATGCGCTGACCCCCACTCTGTCATTTTAGGTGGCCTACCACTTCGTGGCTGAGTTGCTGTTCCCAGTTGCTTCCACTTTGTCATAATACCACTAACAGTTGACCATGGAATATTTTGTAGCAAGGAAATTTCACGGAACACCTGAATCCAATGACTTGGACGGGTGTTCCAATACTTTTGCCAATATAGTGTGTGGTGTGTGTGTGTATAATATATACTATTATCTCGCAATTCAGAACCCCCCGTCAACTGTGATTCATTGTACTGTATGATTATTTGAGGAGTGGACAATCCACATGTATACATTTAGGAGGCCTAAAAAAATGAAATTACAATTTGATGATTCTCATGCTATGCAAATTGATACACATCATTAACTGTGGTAAAACTGTTTTGTTTATGATATTTGCATCTTTTCAAGAAATTCTTGTCTGAGCTATACTGAAAGTATATCTAAAGTCAGAACTCTGTTTTGAACAGAGTAGTAAATGTAGTAGCTTAAAACCTGTTTAATTGTTGATTGTTTTTTTTTATTGTTTTAATAGGTGATATACAGTATACTTAGAAGCTTAGAGTATTATTATTATTATTATTACATAGTATTTATATAGCGCCAACAGTTTGCGCAGCGCTTTACAATCTAAGGAAGACATTACAATACAATTCAAGACAAGATGGTAAGGAGGGCTCTGCCCCTGAGGGCGTACAATCTAAAAGAGGAGTGGGAAATGATACATGAGGAGGTAGTTGTGAGGGGATGAATTATTTGAGAATGTGATGGTTCAGTGGTTAGGTTGAGGTGGGATAGGCTTTCCTGAAGAGATGAGTCTTTAGGGAACGCCTAAAGACAGTCAAGGTGGGAGATAGACGGACAGGTTGGGGTAAAGAGTTCCAGAGGATGGGAGAGACTCTAGAGAAGTATCCTCACAAACTCCAAAAAAGCCAAGAAACATAAAGTGAGAGTATATTATAAATAGTATCAAATGTATTATTATTATTGCCACTTCAAATTAAAAATTATATATATATTTATTGTAACAGGACGGTGTCGTGTCACTCTGGTGATTGGTGTGTTTGGCGCCAGGACTCTCGGCCAGAGGGGCTGAGTGGGTCCAGAAAACCTATAGTGTTACAGGGAAGGAGCTGGGTTTCCAGTTCTTTGCAGGTTTTCTGGAGTATAACTGGGATCTGGGTCCCTGGAGATTTCTAAGGGCTCGTTCACACCAGATGCAGCGCGTTCTGGCCCGATTCTGGTCAGAACACACTGCATCGCATTGCGGCCAGTTCACTTTTTTGTGGAGCATGAGGGGGCGTGGTGGTGCCTTAAAAGCCCTATTTACCTATATTTTTTATATTAAGTTAAGTATTACTCCTTATTACTCATTATTAAGTTAAGTATTACTCCTGCACCCCTAGACTTATGGGGTTAAGGCTTTTCCCCATAGATCTCCTTAGGGTAACGGGAGGACACAAACTAGCGTCCTCCCGTCACCCTAAGCTTAGTATACCGCAGCTGTAACTCGCGGTATACTTAGATGCCGCAGTATACCGCGAACTACTGCTTGCGATATACTATGGTGAGTGAAAAGCACTCACCTCATAGTTCTCCTTTAACAAGCAATTAATCCTTGCAGTGCAGGGGGCCACACTGCAAGGGGTTTAAAGCATATCAACCCAAAAACAAATACAGTGATACCTTGGTTTACGAGCACAATTCGTTCCGGAAGCATGCTTGTAATCCAAAGCGCTTGTATATCAAAGCGAACTTCCCCATAGGAAATAATGGAAATTCAGATGATTCGTTCCACAACCCAAAAATATTCATATAAAATGATTACAATACTGTACTGTAATATAATACAAAATATAAAGAAAAATAAACCAATTACCGGTACCTTTGTGGCCGGTGTGAGAGGGACAAAAGAGAGGAGGATTATTGTGCAGGACAACTTTCACTATCACTAACAGAATCACTGCTATCTCTTGACTCAATGGAATCTTTTTCATTTCGTGAAACCTTAACAAGGAATCTATCCAATGTGACATCATTGCATTGTCGTTAAACAGACTCATCGCTCGCACTGCTACAGCCTTATTCGGTGGTGCTTTTCTAGAAAATGTTGCTCTTATTGCAAGACATTGCTTGTATATCAAGGCAATTTTTTTCAGAAATGTTTGCTTGTCTTGCAAAACGCTCTCAAACCAAGTTACTTGTAAACCAAGGTATTACTGTATGCAATAAATTGCAGCTTACCAGTTTTTGGGTGTAGTGGCTGCGTTAGTTTTTTTTCCAGAATTCTGCCAGTAACACCCTTCCAGTCCTAGGATGACAATGCTCTCTAACCCATCTGTATCAGAACAATAGAATAAGATGGGACTACAGAGCTCTGTCCCCTCCTATTCTCCATTACCTAGAGGAGGGATGTTCCTCAGAGATAGCTGGGAACAATATCATTTATAACAGTGAGTACAGGCAAAGAGTAGAGGAAGTTGTCAGATCACAAGATTTCTGGCAGAACCAACAGGTTTTTTTTAACTTATCGAACAGATGTAGCAAAACACTTTCAATGGCATATCCAACAGACCAAAGGGAGAAAATAAGAAAGATTGTGGTTGGAGTTTACATACACTTTAAACCTGGATCGTCATAATGCAAGCGAGTACAGGTGTCTCCGTTAGTAGATATCCTCTCTTACTGAGGAACTGAAATATTTAAATATGTTTGTATTTGGCAGGGCTCTGCTTTAATTAAAGAGTATGTTCAGCCAAAAACCTTTTTGTTTTCTTAGTTTTGGATAGAATGTGAAGAGATTAAAACTCCTGTCAGGTTTGTACTGCTATCGTGGGCCCTTTTTACGGTTCTGGTGCCAACAGCCTCACTAGATAGGAAGTGAGCAAATTCTCCAACTGCAACACAGACAGAAATCAAAATGCTTTTTACTAGTTGAGTAGGTGAAGACTAAAACCTGTCAGACTTTTATTTCTGCATATGTCCCTGTTGCAGATTTTCCCTCAGTTCCTGTCTGGTGAAATTGTTGTCATCATGACAGTAAGTTAGGGGCACTTGCTTTAACAGAGCCCCAGATAGCAATAAAGCCCAGTAGGGGTTCCCATTCTTTTCCTTTTCAAAACTAAAAGGAATAGTTTTCACACACTTTAATTTATATGTATGCTTATGTAGCGCTCACCCCCGAAGGAGCCGCTAAGATGAACAGGTCTTCCATAGCCTGCCTAGGGAATTTAGCAATCGGCTGCCCCAATAGCATCTACCACCCTTCTCTGGTAACCGATAAGACTGAAATCCAAACTGTAGTTATAATGCTGAAGGAACTTTATTGCATAATTTCATAATTGGGGGAGAGGGCATAGGGCTTAGGACATCCACGACAAAAATAGGCACCAAACAGAACTCCAGGCTCACCAGTTCCCTTTCAATATTCCACAGTGTAGGATCAATAGAAGAACACGCTGACACTGGGTATTTGAGCAACAGCTAAACAGGGATAGGCATGAGATCCTCAGTAGTTCGAGCTCACGCTCAACTCAAACATTGAGCCCATCCCTAGTGAGGAATCTGATGCATCCCAGATGCTGCCTGCCCACTATGTGAAAGAAAGTCCTGGAGCAAAAGGCAAAAGAATAGGCGAAAGGACGGCATGACAGGGTGGGCAGGCAGTCAGGTAGAGAAAGGGTTAAGTTAGCCTAAGGAAGGTGCTCGGGTGTCACTTACCGTGATTGGCTGGGTCAAGTGGTCCAGGAGGAGCATCCAGGGTGGTTAGAGCAGGAGGAGGGGTGATCCAGGCAGTTGGGAGTCAGCACAAGGTCAGTTCACTTCTGCAGCTTTCCTTATCCACAAAAATGATTTAGAAAATGTCAGATCTCTCTGGCCTATTTGCTCAATTACAAGCAGCTGCAGATGCTAATGGCTCTGCATGGCTGCAGACTTAAATTCAAAGCTTGCTGCAGCCTTCTCAACCACAGCAAGGACGTAGGGCACCACGCGCTAGGCGGTCCAGGCCTCCTGAGCGCTTTTCCCCTGCTCATTCACAAGTTTCTGGGGGCTCAGCGCCGCCTTAGGAGCCCCTCTAGGGAC